CCACGCCCGGCTGATTTTTTGATTTATTGTAGAGATGAGGTCTCGCCAAGTTGTCCAGGCGGGTCTCGAACCCATAGGCTCAAGCAATCCACTCACCTCAGCCTCCCAAAGCACGGGATTACAGGCTGAGCCACCGAGTCCGGCTCTGATTTTTAAATTAAAATTAAAAAGGCCAGGCACGGTGGTTCATGCCTATAATCCCAGCACTTTGGGAGGCCGAGGTGAGAGGACTGCCTAAGCCCACGGTTCGAGACCAACCCGGGCAATTTGGTGAGACTTCATCTCTAAACTAACTAAATAATTAGCCAGGTGTGGTGATGCATGCCTGTAGTTCCAGCTACTTGGAAGGCTGAGGCAGAAGAATCACCTGAGCCCAGCAGGTCGAGGCTGCGGTGGTGTGAGCTTGCCACTGCACTCCAGCTTGGGCAACAGAGTAAGACTCCAACCGCCCCCCCACCAAAAAAAGAAAAGGAAACAATCTTAAGTTCAAAGAGAAAAAAAAAATACCCCTGAAGCCATCTCTCCAATTTCCGATAGGACAGACCAAGACTATGGCAACACGCTGCCACTGGTTTGGGCAACTGCAAGTACAGTCATTTCCACAGGTGTTGGCAGATGATCCACTCACTTCCTGAGCTCCAGACAAGACTGGTCTGTGGGGTCAGGCACACCTTTTCTGGCTTCTCTTTCAAGTGGATAAAGAAGAAACAACAAGTAGCTCCACTGAGCACTTATCTTGGAATACAAAACCTCCTCAGATTTAACTAATCTCACAGGCTGAGTTTTTTTTTTTTTTTTGACTCGGAATCTCACTCTGTCACCCAGGTACGGAGGCACGCTCAGACCACCTCAGCTCGACCTGCTGGGCTCAGGCGATCCTTCTGCCTCGGCATTTCAAGCAACTGGAACTACAGGTGTGCGCCACCATACTTGGCTAATTTTTTTTTTTTTCTGAGTTGGAGTCTCACTCTGTCGCCCAGACTGGAGTGCAGTGGCCACTCCCAGCCACTGCAGCCTCGACCTGCTGGGCTCCAGCGATCCTTCCACCTCAGCCTTCCAAGTAGCTAGAACTACAGGTGCGTGCTACCATGTCCGGCTAATTTTGTGATTTATTGTAGAGATGAGGTCTCACCAAGTTGCCCAGGTGGATCTTGAACCCATGGGCTCAGGCAATCCACTCACCTCAGCCTCCCAAAGCACGGGATTACAGGCTGAGCCACTGAGCCCAGCTATTGGCTAATTTTAAAAATTTATTTGTAGTGATGAGGTCTGGCCATGTTGCCCAGGCTAGTCTCGATCCACTGGGCTCAGGCAATCTTCTAGCCTCTGCCTCTCAAAGTACTGGGATTACAGGCATGAGCCACCACACCCAGCCTGAAATTTTTTTAAAATACCAACACTGCCACCTTAGAATCATGGCTCCTTCCACTGAGGAGCGGCAACTCCATTACCTCAGTTTGCCAAGACTGGACAAAATGCACCAAAAATGTCTCTGGAAATGCTAGCATACTTGTTTTTCTAACTTTTCTTTCACTTTTTTTTTTTTTTTTTTGAGTTGGGGTCTCACTCTGTCGCCCAGACTGGACTTCAGTGGCCGCTCCCGGCCCCCGCAGCCTCGACCTGCTGGGCTCCGGCGATCCTTCCGCCTCAGCCTTCCAAGTAGCTGAAATTACAGGCGCACGCTACCACGCCTGATTTATTGTAGAGATGAGGTCTCGCCAAGTTGCCCAGGTGGGTCTGGAACCCACGGGCTCAGGCAATCCACTCACCTCAGCCTCCCAAAGGCACGGGATTACAGGCTGAGCCACCGAGCCCGGCTCTTTCACATTTCATAGTCACTTTTCATACTGCCATTTTCCCTATTGGGATAAAAATGGTCTCAGAAAAATAGACCAAGTAATTAGGTTGACAGCTTCTTTCTTTGAGTCAATAATGATAGCTTCCTAGTCAATCACTTCTCTTTCTTCTTGATTAAGACATTACCTTGTAAATATTAACACTGACAGTCATAGCAATACCCTTCCTGAGTCAGCTGCTGTTCTTTGTAATTACCGCACATTAATGGGTAAGCTGAGCAACCACAAAGGCTAGAGGCAGGGGCCTAGGATGGCAGTTAGACAGTCAAGATTGTTTACTTAATATATTTGTGTTTGCCGGGCTCGGTGTCTCAGCCTGTAATCCCACGTCTTTGGGAGGCTGAGGTGAGTGGCTCGCTCAGGACCGCGGGTTCAAGACCCGCCTGGGCAGCAAGACCTCATCTCTACAATAAATCAAAAAATCAGCCGGGCGTGGTAGCGCATGCCTGTAATTCC